ATTTAATGATTATTGTATGGCAGTGGGAATTGATGTTGAACATCCTGTAGCATATGTTCACACTCAAAATGGTCTAGCAGAATCATTGATTAAACGACTGCAGCTTATAGCTAGACAATTGATAATGAGAACAAAACTGCCCACTTCAGTATGAGGACATGCTATTCTGCATGCAGATAATCTAATTCGCATAAGACTAAGTGCACACCATACATACTCGCCATTACAGTTGGCATCTGGTCGAGAACCAAATATTGCACATATAAGAATTTTTGGTTGTGCAGTGTATGTACCAATTGCTCCGCCCCAACGTACGAAAATGGGGCCTCAAAGAAGGTTGGGAATATATGTTGGATATGAATCTCCATCAATAATAAAATACCTTGAACCAAAAACAGGTGATGTTTTTACAGCTCGGTTTGATGATTGTCATTTTAATGAAGAATTATTTCCCCCTTTAGGTGGGAATGAAAAGTCAATTGAGAAAAATATTGAATGGAGAACATCAGCACTATCATATCTTGATCCTCCCACCAAACAAAGAGAGTAAGAAGTTCAAAAATTATACATCTGCAGAATATTGCAAATCAATTGCCAGATGCATTTACTGACACAAAAAGGGTGACAAAATCACATGTTGCAGCTATAAATGCCCCTGCTCGAATTGAGATTCCAAAAAAAATGGCAAATGACGATATGCCAAATGAGTTAAAGGCACGTTTGAAACGAGGAAGGCCAGTGGGGTCTAAAGATAAGAATCCTCGAAAGAAAAGAGAAATTCAAGGTTCGAATTTGAAAAAGAATCAAGATGATGGAAAAATTTCGGAACGAAATGAAAATATTGAAATCTCCATCAATTATGTAAATAATGGGAAACTTTGGAAGCGTGATGGGATCATTGATGATGCGTTCGCATATATGGTATCACAAGAAATTGACAAAGAAGTTGAGGATCCTGAACCAAAATCTATGATTGAATGTCAGAAAAGACATGATTGGGACAAGTGGAAAGGTGCTATCCAAGCCGAGTTAAATTCGCTTAATAAACGAAAGGTGTTTGGACCTATTACCATTATACCTACAGACATAGAACCTATTGGGTACAGATGGGTTTTTGTCAGAAAAAGAAATGAGAAAAATGAGGTCACAAGATATAAAGCTCGCCTTGTAGCACAGGGATTTTCCCAGAGGCCTGGGATCGATTATGATGAGACATATTCCCCTGTTATGGATGCGATTACTTTCAGATACTTGATTAGTTTGGCCATCCATGAACATCTTGAGATGCGTCTTATGGATGTTGTGACTGCTTACTTATATGGATCACTAGACGCTGACATTTATATGAAAATTCCAGAAGGAATTAGAATGCCCGAAGCACTAAAGTCCAAACCTAAAGAGTTATGTGCGATAAAGCTGCAAAGATCATTGTATGGCTTGAAACAATCTGGGCGTATGTGGTATAATTGTTTGAGTGAACAATTGCTTAAACGGGGATACATAAATAATCAAATATGCCCGTGTGTTTTTATAAAAAGATCACAAGATGGAGTTGTGATAATTGCTGTCTATGTCGATGATCTTAATATTATTGGGACTACAAATGAAATTCAAGAAGCAGTCACTTTACTAAAAGGCGAGTTTGAAATGAAAGATCTCGGACAGACCAAATATTGTCTCGGCTTGCAAATAGAACGGGTCCAAAATGGGATATTCGTCCATCAATCTAATTACACTCAAAGAATACTGAAACGATTCAATATGGACAAAGCGA